ACCGCTCGAGGTCGATACGGATCCGGCTGCTTCCGCTGTTCCCCCGCACTCGTCGGTTGGGTGTGACACGGGGGGGGAGGCGGACAGTCGTAAGTACGAGGTTGTGGTCAGAGTCTTTGAAGTCGACACGTTTGACGGAGACATTACGCACGAATCGCACGAATCGTGTGTGTGTGTGTGTGTGTACAGATCTCCGTTTCTGCGTTCCATTACCTCTCGTCTTACTCCCGGGGACGTTTCGATGATTTCGGGAGCAAATGCGTGTCAAGCACGGCCATCTGATGCCAGAGCTTGATGAAACAGGTGTGACGGAGATTGCCCTAATTAGATCGTAAATCGGTGCTCTATAGTGTAAAGCTTGCTGAACCTCCTCTTGCTCCTCCAGCCCTGCCCAGGCCAGGGTCGCATTGACGGCGGCCATGTGGGCAGGCTGGCCCGGGACGATGTCGAGGTTTGCCAGCACCTGGCACAACTCCTGGTCTTGAATGCCGGGATCTCGATCTTCTCACCAAGGGTAAGCTGCCTGCGCTTGCTTGCTCCGCCACGCGCTGCCTTCTTGGAGGTGGTCGACCTCCCCTTAAGAATGGTGGAGCCGATCGCTTTGCGCTTACCGGCGCTAGATGAAGTGCCGGCAGCCGGCTTCTTGTTGGCGCATGGTGTGCAGATGCGGAGTGTCCCGGAGCTTCCCTCGTCACTACTCTCCACGTTCTCCACATTGCCACATGCTTCGTGAAGCCGGCCGCCGCAACGTCCGTGACACACATGCCCATCGGGAGGCTCATCAATCGTCGCGTCTCGGGTAAGACACATTTCTCCAGCCGCGCATCACATCGTGTGTATGCTGCTCTGGTGTGGTTGTGCGTATGCGTGTATGCTGCTGCTGCAAGCTGCTGGTGTGGTTGTGTGGGCAGCAGCTGTGAGGAGCCGAGGGAGCCACCCGAAGGTGACAGTCCCACACCTCTCCAGTGGGGTCAGCCCACTATAAAGGGGCCGGTCGCTTTCTGAGAGGGTAACCCTCTTATAGCGGGTCGCGCCCGTGCCAACCGATTTTGACCCTCTTATAACGGAGCCCCCTCTTACTCGGTACCCTCTTATATCGGAACCACGACCGTACGCATCTTTCCAACAATATTGTTTGTTCAGTGCAAATACGCTGAAATAAACATGG